AAGAAGGGGTCCATTACATGAACAATCATGATGTTTGAGGGTAGCTGTCAGCCACTAGCCCTATTAGCCACAGTCTCCTCCTTCCGGTGGATTAGGACCGGAATATCATGGTAGGATTAGAACATTGTATCTGTAACCGACCCTCACCCCCGCAGAAATTATGAAAAATTATGCACGCAGTACGCAATTTGCAACCTCATCAACTATGAAGCAGATTGCGTTCGGCGCGAACCGAAGCACAGGAACCGAGGATTTACCATATTCTTCTTTTACAACTGATAATTGTATTTAAAAAACCGGCTTCAAAAGCCAAAAATAACCAACGTAAAACAACACACCTGAATTTTAGAATAATCGATCGGAACACTGGATTTTACAAAACCACCACAACTGTAAATGTCCGCTCTAGCTTGGACCAGAAAAGCGAGCCATAAGATCGCTCTCATACTAGTTCCAGGTATTGACCCAAGCTGAAAAGTTGGCCATGTGGAAAACATTGAGAGTGGTTTAGTGGGAAACAAACGTATGATGATGTATAAGGATAAGGGCACAGTTCGCAACATTTTATACACTGATGAATAAAGTGCTGCAATCAACAAGAGGTCTATACACAGTCATCATCAAACGGAGTTATGAAAAGCAGACAAAAATGTAATTTTCAGTTTTTGAAATTTGTGCGCGCTCAAATGGCACACATAATAAAAGCTTCTTTGAACTTGACATTTCCTAAGTTAGATATAAATTTGGGCATCGGAAGTTCGTGATGGGAGCATTTCTTAAAATGGTAAAGAATGGTAAAGAATTGGTAATGTAGGTAATGGTAAAGAATGAGCTTACGAACGTGGAGAGGGATAACGACACATAGAAATGGGGAAGTGTCTGAGGATGTTGCATAGAAAAGCGAAGGAATGGTAAGTTCGACCACGGAATAAGACTAATTAAGACTTAGAATAAGACTAATTACGAACTTTGTGCAAGTATATATTTTCCATGTGAGCGAGTGGTTCCACTGATTGGGTGAAGAGATCGAGATTCTGAAGTTTCCAACTCTAGCAAAAAAGCACCAAATGATATCCTTATAGCCAAGAAAGAATTTGTAGAAATTTTTTGAATGGATCCTCCGAGATGAGTCGTAAGATTTTTCATAGTAGCCATTTTATCACATGTGTGACAAAATTGCATTGAGATCTTTTGCATGTTGAATAATTGGAAAATAAGATGCCGCTGAGAACTGAAACTTTGAGCATGCATGGACTATCCGTAAGAGTGTGGAAGCGTTTTTAACCCTATGTATCACGCTGAATCAAAAAAAACTATTCCAAAATAACGCCCTAAAGTTTCAAAAGATTCTGAAAGCAAGACAACACTAATATAAATCAGATCATAACCGTATAAAACATATACGTTGCACGATAACATGACGACTAACACAGAAATTTGGTATAGTGCAAAAGTTGACCTCAATAATTTGGTCGTGTGATAGGTGACAGCGGCCGTAGTCGAATTTCCTCACGCCCAAGTGGTGGATGTCTCGATTTTTTGTTTCTTCTGTGTCGTTTACTGGTTCATTAAGGTTCGTAGTCTTTGTCTTTTGAATGTTCGATGGACCAAGAGTCTAGCTTGAAAATTGTGATATTTCTGACCTTCGCTTTAATGAATCACTCGTAATTAGCCTTGTAATTACTTTATCTCTGGCAAATCTTCTCAAAATTCACCAAAAGAAGATTTAGACGGATGCCGCGGCTACTACATTAAAATAGTAGCTTCATTGACTAGTTTCACGTCATGGAGGAGGACGCAAACGGAACCACAGGGTCCATCGGTGAGTGAAAACTTTGCTCCGATTACTTCAAGCATTTGAACTTAATTTTGATTTTGTTGACATATTTTTTGAGTCTATATCTTCCTTTACATTTTTCGCTATTGCGTCGGATATATATCTCATCTCTGCTGATTTTCAGGAGGTCTGGGCTACTGGAAACAGAACCTCTATCTTCTCCAAGAGCGAGCTCCCAAACCAATTCCAGTACTTTGTACTCGCAAAATTGAGAATCGACCTCCACAATATGGCAACGAATTCCATGGTTTGATTGATAGAGTCGAGGTATGTTTTTCTACGCTTTCTTATCTTTGTATCTTGACTTGTGAAATGTTTTCTTATTCTTAGTCCGTACTTTTTTGATTCAAAATTAATATTGTTTTGATTGATCTTCAGCAATCCTTCTGCTGATACGACTAAAATTTAGGCCGAGCGCATGTTGATGGAAGTTGGTGAAGGTGCTTTTTTGGTACGAGAATCTCGTCGATCTCAAGATGCCTTCACGCTTTGTATGATGTTCGATGGTCGTGTGCTAAATTACAAGGTAATTACTGTGCTGCCCCTTTTT